TTTTGCACTCTCCTTCTTCACCCGCATCAAGAGGCTCTTTAGTTCCTCTTCACTTTCTGCCATTAGAGTGGTATCATCTGCATATCTTAGGTTGTTGATATTTCTCCCGGCAATCTTAATTCCAACTTTTGATTCATCTAGCCCTGCCTTTCTCATGATGTGCTCTGCATATAAGTTAAATAGGCAGGGCGACAGTATACAGCCTTGCCGGACTCCTTTTCCAATTTTGAACCAATCAGTGGTTCCGTGTTCCAGTTCTCACTGTTGCTTCTTGACCCGCATATAGGTTTCTCAAGAGACAAATGAGATGGTCTGGTACTCCCATCTCTTTAAGAACTTGCCACAATTTGTTGTGATCCACACAATCAAAGGCTTTTGCATAGTCAATGAAGCAGAAGTAGATGTTTTTCTGGAACTCCCTAGCTTTCTCCATGATCCAGCGTATGTTGGCAATTTGATCTCTAGTTCCTCTGCCTCTTCGAAATCCTGCCTGTACTTCTGGTAGTTCTCGATCCACATACTGCTGGAGTCTAGCTTGTAGGATTTTAAGCATAACTTTACTAGCATGTGAAATGAGTGCAATGGTGCGATAGTTTGAACATTCTTTGGCATTGCCTTTCTTTGGAATTGGAATGTAAACTGACCTTTTCCAATCCTGTGGCCACTGTTGAGTTTTCCAAATTTGCTGGCAAATTGAGTGTAGCACTTTTACTGCATCGTCTTTTAAGATTTTGAATAGCTCAGCTGGAATACTGTCACCTCCACTAGCTTTGTTGTTGCTCAGATTTTCTAAGGCCCATTTCACTTCACATTCTAGGATGTCTGGTTCGAGGTCAGTGACCATCTCATTGTGGTTATCTGGGATGTTAAGCTCATTCTTGTATAGTTCTTCTGTGTAGTTTTGCCATCTCTTCTTAATCTCTTCTGCCTCTGTTAGGTCTCTGCCATTTTGGTCCTTTATCATGCCCATCTTTGCATGAAACGTTCCCTTCATATCTCCAATTTTCTTGAAGAGATCTCTGGTCCTCCCTATTCTGTTGTTTTCTTCTATTTCTTTGCACTGTTCATTTAAGAAGGCATTCTTATCTCTTCTAGCTACTCTCTGGAATTCTGCATTCAATTGGGTGTATCTTTCTCTTTCTCCTTTGCCTTTCACTTCCCTTCTTTCCTCAGCTATTTGCAAAGCTTCCTCAGACAGCCATTTTGCTTTCTTGCATTTCTTTTTCTTTGGGATGGTTTTAGTTGCTACCTCTTGTACAATGTTACGAACTTCCATCCATAGTTCTTCAGGCACTCTGTCTATCAGATCCAGTTCCTTAAATCTATTTGTCACCTCTACTGTATATTCATCAGGAATATGATTTAGTTCATACCTGAGTGGCCTAGTGCTTTTCCCTACTTTTTTCAATTTAAGCCTAAATTTTGCAATGAGAAGCTCATGATCTGAGCCACAGTCAGCTCCTGGTCTTGTTTTTATTGACTGTATAGAGCTTCTCCATCTTTGGCTGCAGAGCACATAGTCAATCTGATTTCTATGTTGACCGTCTGGTAATGTCCATGTGTAGAGCCGTCTCTTGGGTTGTTGGAAGAGAGTGTTTGTTATGACCATCGTATTCTCTTGACAAAATTCTATTAGCCTATGCCCTGCTTCATTTTGTACTCCAAGGCCAAACTTGCCTGTTATTCCGGTTATCTTTTGGCTTCCTACCTTAGCATTCCAATCCCCCATGATGATAAGGACATCATTTTTTGGTGTTAATTCTATAAGGCTATAAGGGATAGGCTTTGTAGAATACCAAAATGAAATTCTTTCTCAAATGTTGTTAACAGGGTTAAAGAAATGATACTACAAGTGGAATTTATCTAGGAAGATATTGAAGTAATACCTGAACAGATGCTGTGATATTCCCTTCCTCTCTCTTCAAAACATTATTGTAGCCCTTGACAGATTTATCAAGAGTGATGGGGGAGGTGATGGCAGCTTGGTAAAAATGAACAGATCTCCCTTACAAAAATAGTAACTGGAATGATTCTTCAGAACAAGCACTCGGAGGAGAAGAAAGGTATTCCAAGATTACATGACAGTTCTGCCCCAGGCCAAGATCTGCTATGAAGAAAAGCTCGTTATCTATAATAGAGCCACATTGGTGCAGTTTTCATATGCTGTAGTAATATTATCTTAAATATGGAACTTAAAATTTCCACATACAGCAGGTGTAGACCTGTAAGGTGAAGGTCAGGTTGAAATAACTTCACAAAAGTATAGTAACATGCACAAAACCAGCTAACATGCTAACAAAATTTGAAACTTTCATAGATTATAAAAAAAGAAGAGCATATCCAGCATTCACATGATTAGCTGAGGTATTACACACACACACACACACACACACACACACACACCCCAGTTCTAATAATGGACCTTTGCTTCCTTTGAACAGGAGAGCATAGGAAAAAAGAGCAGAATTATTTGTTGTTCCAAATCAGGAGACTCATCTTAAAGGCCATACTTCAGACTATCTCAGTACAATTCTCACAAAATACATTGTGCCTTGATTATCCTAGTGGACCACCACTTACGTATGAGCCAGCAGTTTGTTGCACCTGCCAAAAAAGCCAATGCATCAACAGAGGGATAGTATCAAGATAATAATAATAATGATAAAGTTGGAAGGGACCTTGGAGGTCATCTAGTCCAACCCCCTGCTCAGGCAGGAAACCCCATACCAGAAGAGACAGTTATCAAGAAGGATCATGGTAGCCAGGGTATTACTAGAAAAATTAAGTTTACGCCAGAAATACAGCTGGGGTAAATGGCCTCTGAAACCCAAGGGAATTAACACAGTTTCTGAGTTAAATGAAATGCAGGACGGTCCTCCAAATATTACTTTTAAGAATCTGGACTGTGCTATTTCTGTAGGTTGTTGTGTGTGTCAGAAGAATAATTTTGGGTTTCAACTCAAGCCAGGGTTGTGCAAGAGTAAATAAAAATGAAATCCAGACAGCTGTGAGGAAAGGAGAAGTATTTATTTTCAAAAGCAAAGAGGTTTGGCTTGGGAGCAACTGCACAAAAATGGGATATAGAGAGATTGTTTTATAGGGGAGCTTGTCCTGAGTACGAAAGTGCATACATGCTGATTCTAGGATGATATTTAAGGGTGTGGGTATGTGTAGATAGATGTCATCTATGATATTTATTCTTGTGAATATGAAGTTCCGCTGGGTGACCATTTTAATTTACTCTGATATGTGAGCTAGGTCTGGGTAATTTATCTGGGGGTTTGAAGAGGTTTGAGTAAAAGATTTTTTCCCCATTTGCTATTTTTACTTGATTAACTTACTTGATTAATTGACAGCTTGACTGTCAATTATCTAGTGGAGACAGATTCTTAGTCCATTGTGGATTCTGTAAATGTTTCATGGAAGATAGAGACAGCATAAGGAATAAAATATATTTTGATATAAAATTTGCCATATAATATAATGGGTGAGAAATTTTACTATAAGGACTCTTATTGCATGAACGTATTCTTGTTTCCTTTAGAGTAAAAGAAACTGAGTATAGCCTTAGTAATATGATTATTAGCTTTATTGGAAATAGATTGAATTTGTTCACACCCAACTTTAGAGTGTTGAAAAATTTTACATAAGATATCTAAAAGTTAAAACTTGGCCTCTAGTGTTATTCTTTATCTGCCATATCTCAGTCCCTTTTTAGGAATGTGTTCAAATTAGCAGTACAGCCAAGTGAATGGAGGCAGTCTGGAGCAATAGCAAAGCCAAAAGAAGTCACAAGATTAACCTTTACTCTTGACAATAATGTTTTAATGTAGCAATACTGGATGGTGTTCTGGAATTGGTTTCTCATTGTGATGAAATTCAGAAAACTTTTATCAGGTATGTATCTTTAATCATACTGTTCAAAATTTATTCTGTTGAAAGAAACTAAAGAGACTAGTCAGCTTGAATGCAAAATATTTAAAATTTCTCTTTAAAGTTCCTAGACCAGTTCCTAGACAATTGATGTCTTTTTCCCTGGAAGCATTCAATAATGCAATGTTTATTAAAACCCTAGGATAAATTTGTCCTCTGTTTTAAGAAAGAATAGTACCTAGTGAGCATTATATGGTTCATATACAAGCGTCAGCAACAATGTAGAAAAGCAGCTCTGCAACAGAAAGAGGTGAAGATCATGATCCAGTCTGGAAGGTGGGAATGCTCTCTAGGCAACGGTCTTGGTGAATCCAAGGACCTTGCCTCATCTTCTCTAAGGTCTCTTTTCAAATGAGAAAAGTCTTTTGATTGGTGGGACAAGATTATAGGTTGTCACAGACCCTTAGCTTTTTTTCATCATAGACAAAATGGATAGATGCATACAGGGCTGAACTAAATGGTTGTCCTGTACACAAAATGGCCACACCTGATGAGGGAGGCGAACTCTGAAAAGGCTCTGTCTAAAACAGGATAGTTGACACATGGGGTATCATTGCTCTGACAAAAAGTATTCCCCTTCTTCAGTTGTGCACATGTGCTTCGGAACAAGGACGAAGCCAGAAAGGGAAGGGAGTTGTTGCATCAAACCTTCCGCTTGCAATGAGTCATTGTTTACTAGCCCTGGTTAGAGCTGTGAAGCTTGCTTCCTGTGAAATGCTTGCTTCTTTTAGGAGCATATTAATGAATAGCAGTTTGCACACAGAGCTTGAAGCCTCACTATTGTTTCCTTCTTCCTGGCTATTCTTTGCACCTGCCTGCCTTGTCTTCATGTTACTTATATTGTGTGCAGAACAATCTGCTATTGTTGAATAGTATTTTTTTTAAACTGCCACTTTGTTTCCACAGATATTGATGTCTAAAACAACTCTATCCTATATAAAGGTGTTGTTTGTATTTAAATGACCACCTGCATGGACCTTATCATATGTCTTTTAATTGTTCAGCAATTGCACAACAGCCTTTTTAATTTTAATAATTTCCCTGCCCTCCTTTTTCTCTTTCTACAGGGTTAAAGTAAGTCAGGATGGACAGTTTTTACATTATGTTTTCCCATATCAGTTCCTGGATTCCCCAGAGTGGGAATCATTACAGCCTTCTGAAGAGGGAACATTTCAGGTAATGTTCTTCATAATGTTCTGATTTCTTTATAATTTCCATCTTTCATTTTCTATTGAGGAGCAAAGAAAATGTTTGTGTAGTTCAGCCTATTTACTACATCTTGGGATGTTTGCCTCCATTCTTCCTGGCTAGAATAGAATAGAATGGAATAGAATAGAACAGAACAGAACAGAACAGAATAGAATAGAACTGGAAGGGACCTTGGAGGTTTTCTAGTCCAGCCCTCTGCTCAACCTGTACTGTCTCAGACAGGTGAATGACTAGTCTCTTCTTACAAATCTCCAGTGATAATAATAACAATAATAGTAAAGTTGGAAGGGACTTTGGAGGTCATCTAGTCCAACCCCATGCTCAGGCAGGAAACCCTACACCATTTCAGACAAATGGCTGTCTAGTCTCTTCTTAAAAACTTCCAGTGTTGGAGCATTTACTGCTTCTGGAGGCAGGTTGTTCCATTGGTTAATTGTTCTCACTGTCAGGAAGTTTCTCCTTAGTTCTAGGTTGCTTCTCTCCTTGATTAGTTTCCACCCATTGCTTCTTGTCCTGCTTTCAGGTGCTTTGGAAAATAGCTTGATTCCCTCTTCTTTATGGCAGCCCCTGAGATATTGGAATACTGCTATCTTGTCCCCCCTTGTCCTTCTCTTCGTTAAACTAGATGGAGCACTCATGATTTCTAGGGGTAAACTATTCCACTGGTTAATTGTCCTCACTGTCAGGAAGTTTCTCCTTAATTTCAGGTTGCTTCTCTCTTTGATCAATTTCCAACCATTGTTTCTTGTCCTTCCCTCTGGTGCTTTGGTGAACAACCTGTCCCCCTCTGCCTTGTGACAGCCCCTCAGATACTGGAGCACTACTATCATGTCTCCCCTGTTTCTTCTTTTCTTTAGACTAGTCAAACCCAAGTCCTGTAGCCATTCTTTGTATGCTTTAGTCTCCAGGCCTTTGATCATCTTAGTTGCTCTTCTCTGAATTTTTTCCAAACCCTCAACATCTTTTTTGTGACATGGTGACCAAAACTGGCTGCAGTATTCCAGGTGTGGTCATACTGGGTTTTATAAAGCGGAACTAATACTTAGTGCGATCTCGATTCTATTTCTCTGTTTATACAACCAGGATTGTATTAGCTCTTTTGGTTGCTACTGCACACTGTGATTGTTCACTAGGACTCCAAGGTCCCTCTCACAGTTACTTTTTTTAAGTTAGGTGTCACCCAATCTGTTTTTGTACCTTTGTTTTTTCCTGCCTAAATGTAAGACTATGCTTTTCTCCACACTGAAACTCATTTTGTTGGATAAGGCCCATTGTTCAAGTTTGTCAAGATCTTTTTGGATCCTGAGTTTGTCTTCTGGGGTGTTGGCTACTCCTGTCAGTTTGGTGTCATCTGCAAATTTGATGAGTTCCCCTTCAATTCCATCATCTAAGTCACTTATGAAGATATTGAAGAGTACTGGGCTTAAGAGGGAACCTTGTGGTACCTCACTGCTTACTTCTTTCCATGTAGATGTAGGCCATGGAGGACTACTCATTGAGTACGGTTTGTCAGCCGGCTACAGTTCCATCTGGTGGTGATATTGTCTACTCCACCTTTTCCTAGCTTACCACAGAGTAGGTTGTGGTCTACTTTGTCAAATGCCTTACTGAACTCTAAGTATACTACGTCCATTGCATTTCACTGATCTACTAGTTTAGTTTAGTATATACTAAGCTGCTCTTCAAAGAGGAGAAACTTTCCAAAACCTCTTGCAAAAACTCGACTTGCAAAGAAGAAACTAGGCATACTTCAAACAAATCCTAACTGAAGAGATTAGATATTCGTGAGGTCCAGGATAGGTTTCCAAACTGTGGTGTCCTGGAATCTTTTCCATAAATTCTTTTTGAATTTCTGAATTGATGGAGGTTCTATTGATTCTCTTTGTTCATAAATCAAAGAAGGAACATTAAAAGAACGGATATTGCAGCAGTATAAAACAAAAGCAGTTGTGCTGATCATAAGAGATCAAATCTAACCCCATAATTAAAGTAATACCTTTCTTGACCAGCTGCAGATTAACACATTGCAAAGAACTCCTAATTTGACAAGATGCTTTTACAAAGTATAGCAAAAAAAGAGAAGCCACATTTGTAACCACAACATTCCCTCCTTTGCTCAGTTCTAATTTTTGACTTGGAGTTTTCTATTTTGGCCTCTTGCACTGGTATGTGAGACTAAGATCAGGACATTTCCCCCCACTGTTATGCATATCAGGAGCTGATAAAGGATTACCGTGCATTGGCCGGCCATGCTATGTTTGTCTGAATCAGCTGAGCGCTCAGTTGCCTCCAGCTCCTGCATTTTCACAGTATACTTTTTATACACTGCTCAGCATAAATGATTTCCATAAATAAGCAGATATATGGAATTATTGAATTCAAGCAGTCAACAATCAAGTCCAAGGCTTTGTTTAGTGCAGGAATTGAAATGAAAACCCCCTATTAGATGCTGGTTCAACTTTTTGAACAAAGCTTTTTGAACAAAGGGCAACCTTGAGTATTTTGTTCTACTATTAAATTGCTCTTGCCATTAGAAAGTTTCTCCTAGATGGACCTGTAAACTCCTTTCTTATATAAGGCCATAGGATATGTATCTTGGTACAAAAGTGAACAGGGCTTTGTCTCTGTGTACCTTTTCAATCTCTGAAACAGACATGTCAAACTCGTGACATCACGTGACGTCACGCAATGTATCGGAGCTTTTTTACCATTGCTGGCAATGGGGTGGGCACGACTCCGGTATGATGAAACCAGCCCGCGGGCCAGTAGACACCCTGCTCTGAAACAATGCTTTCAAATCCTCTCTCACCCACTTTTTACTTGGTTCCTGCAATTTTTCTTCATATGAACCAATCCCTGGTTATCCCTGCTATCCTTTTCTGCATCTTTCTTTCTTTCTTTCTTTCTTTCTTTCTTTCTTTCTTTCTTTCTTTCTTTCTTTCTTTCTTTCTTTCTCTCTCTCTCTCTCTCTCTCTCTCTCTCTCTCTCTTTCTTTCTTTCTTTCTTTCTTTCTTTCTCCCTCCCTCCCTCCCTCCCTCCCCCCCTCTCAAAATTGGAAACAATACCTTGGATCTAAGAGTACAAAATATCAGTTCTCCTTCTGATGATTTGGAAACATTTCAGTTAAAGTGTCTTACAACTGAACTTGCAGTTTTAGTACCCACATCCTGCTGCTGATTTATATTCAGCTTTCTGTCAACTACAACAATCCTTTTCACACCTATTTCCAGGCCAGGAAGCCCCCATCTCATCTGCACATTTGATTGCAATAACATATACTCAGTATAAAAAACCCTAAATAAATACTTTGTTATTATTTTAATTTCACTGCCCAAAGTCTTATATCATTAATTTATTTAATAATAGCCATGGTTACACTTACTATTATTGACCACTAATTTAATAATAAGCGTAATTAGAATCCTTCTCCTGTTGTGTAAGATGCTGCCTTCAGGCAACAACAAGCCCTGCCTGCACACATTGGCAGTGATCTCATAAAGTACAGGAAGAAAGAAAGAGCAACAATGCATTGTTATGCTAGTGCATCCACAGCAGGAAATAAGGCAAATGCCAGTACAAAATGGCTTTCTTGTTTGCAAGCTTTCAGGGTAGAGAGATTAGGGTGGAGAATGGGGTGAATAAGATGTGATAGTTATAGAGAAAGAAATATAGAGGACTTTTTATAGGACTAGATATAAGCAAAAGATTGGCAGAAGAATGTTATAAATATGTTGTACAGTTAACATATGATTGACCTCAAAGCTCTGTGTGTGTGTGTGTGTGTGTGTGTGTGTGTGTGTCTGTTTGTGTGAAGAGGGAATGAATGGCCTGTGGTTTGTGGGTTAACTTTCTGTATTTTAGAGTGCCACTTAATACATTTCCTTCATTGTCATACCATCCAGTCCACAATTAGCAACCAGCTTGTTAATTAGGATGCCATGATATAAACACTTTGTTGAAATGAAGATATATTGTTGAGTATTCCTACAATTTATTAACAAAATAACTCAGTCCAGAAATGAGACAAATTTAGTTTGATAAGACTCAATCTTTATAAATCCATGCTGGCTACCAGTAATGCCTGCATTACTTTAAGAAGTTTGCAAATTTACTCTTCATGAATTGCACTAGCTTTTTCTCAGGTCCTAATAGAACATAGAATTGGAAGGGACTTGGAGGTCTTCTAGAGCAACTGTCAATAGTCCGACTAGCAAACCTAACAAAAGTATCCCACAAGGCAATTGAGTCCCAAAAGGTAAAGTTTTATTGAATACATCATCTTGGAACTGAGGAAGGAAAACCAGCTCTGAGTTTTTCTGAGCGAAAGCTTGCTTAATTAAACAATAGATTCCCTTGCCCCCACTCACTAGATGTTCACAATATCCAATAGTAATACTCCTTTTTGCTATGGGAACAGTTCACTTCTCCACTGAGCACTTGTGGTAGTGACCTTGGCATTTTCCAGGCTCTCATGGTCCGTGAACAGCTTCTTGGCATTCCATTTCATCCCTTCACTATCTACATCTCCCCCATTTCTATGGCAAGTTGATTAGTGATAGAAGATAGGAGGCATCATAGTGATTCAATCTTGACACCAACCCCCTGCTCAGGCAGGAGACCCTATACCATTTTAGACAAATGGCTGTCCAGTTTCTTCTTAAAAGCCTTCTGAAGGCAAGCCATTCCACTGCTTGATTTTTCTCACTGTCAGGAAATTTCTTCTTAGTTCTAAGTTGCTTCTCTTTTTGATTAGCTTCCATCCATTGCTTCTTGTCTTGCCTTCTGGTGTTTTGGAAAATAGTTTGACATCTTCATCTATGTGGCAGCACCTCAAATATTGGAACATTGCTATCATGTCTCCCCTAGTCCTTCTTTTCATTAGACTAGACATAACCAATTCCTGCAACTGTTCTTCATATGTTTTAGTCTCCAGCCCCCTAATCATTCTTCTTGCTCTTCTTTGTGCTCTTTCCAGAGTCTTTTTTATATTGTCATGACCAGAATTCCAAGTGTGGTCTTACTAAGGCTTTGTAAAGCCATATTAAAACTTCCTGTGATCTTGATTCTATCCCTCTATTAACACGGTCCAGAACTGCATTGGCTTTTTTGATTGCTATTGCACACTGTTGGTTCATATTTAAGTGATTGTCCACTAGGACAGGGCTTTTCAATCGGTGGTACACGTACCACCAGCGGTACTTTAGCACCTGGCAGGTGTACGCGACCCCTAGCAAGTGTAGCAAGGGAGGGAACCAGCTAAAGCGATGCTGCAGAGACCTGGAGATCAGCTGGCGCTGCAGAGCTTGGCAGAATCCCCAGGATCTATGCACGTAGCGACATAGTCATTGGAGCTTCCGGCACACCCAGAAGAGAAAAAGAGGAGGAGGGCAGAGAGAAGAGAAGGTATAAAAGGGGCAGGTTTGACAGGAGAGGGAGAGAAAGAGCGAGAAGTAAAAAGGTTTTTCTTAGCAAAGCAGTGAGGAGAGACAGAGTGAGCGGCCTGTTTTCGGAGGAAGGGTGAGTAAGCAAGTAGCGTGTTTTTGGAGGAAAGGCAAGCAAGCGAGCAGCTTGTTTTTGAAAGGGTGAGTGAGCGAGCGGTGTGTTTTTGGGGGAAGGGCAAGCGAGTGAGCTGGGCAGGAGCCCCAGGATCGGCATGCACTTCTGCAGGGCTATGGGGGCTCAGCAGAAGCCCCAGGATCGGTGTGCCCAGCTACAGCTGATCGGCAGGAGCCCGGCGCTGATCCTGGTGTTTCTGCTGAGCCCTGACATCCCTGCACAAGTGCCAATCAGCTGTCAGGGCTCAGCAAAAGCACCAGGATCAGTGCAGGCAGGCAGGCAGGCAGGCAGGCAGGAAGGAAGGAAGGAAGGAAGGAAGGAAGGAAGGAGATGGGAATGAGAAGGAGGGAGGCAGGGTGGGAGGGAAAAAGGAAGGAAACCCTCCCCACGGTAACCACAATGCTAATGTGGCTCACAATGAAATTGAGTTTGACACCCCTGATATAAAAGGTTGTTAAGTAAATCTGATTTCCCCATTGACTTTGCTTTTCAAAAGGTTGCAAAGGGGGATCACATGACCTTGAGACATTGCCGCCAGTGAAATATAAGCTGATTAAACAAGATGTCATATCTAGATATTATAAGATAGATAAAAAGTATAGTATTTTTATAATACATGATATAAAATATTGGGAGGATATACCTAAACGGGAAAATTTGGACAGATGACTAATATGAAGAAATTATGACTGATAAAAATTGGATTGAATATAAGGGGATTTAAGCGAGCAAAAATTATAAAAATAGGATGTATGCTGAACTAATGAGATGAAGGTTATGAGAATAATATAAGCTGAAAAAATGTTATATATATAGATTATTATTATTTGTATAAATATAAAAAATGCCTATATCTAGTCAGTTTATATATTGAAAATATTAAGAATTATATTTTGAAGGAGAATACAAATGGGAGAAGGGAAGATCAAAGAAATGTATCATTAATTAATATATTAATTATGGAATTATCAAATTTAATTATTATTGATTGTTAATTAATTATTATTGTCCTTTTTGTCTTGTCAAAATATAAACCAAGACAACACGCTGTACACCAGGCACTGGAGATTGTTATACTTAAAAACTAATAAAATATCTATATATATATAAAAAGAATTCTTCTACCTCTCTCAACTGTAATTCAGAAAACGTCAGCCAGACCATCAGAGAGTTCCTTCAGTATCTTTGTATGTGGTTTATATATCCCTGTAGATTTTACACAATGCATAATTCAACTGTGGAATTCATTACCATAAGATTGGGTGCTGGCTACTAATTTGGTGGCTTCAAAAAAAGGGTCGGACCAACACATGGAAGTCAAAGCTGCTAGCCTTAATGATGGTGTAACTGCCTCTAAAGACCATCTGCTCTGAGACTGGTGGGCTTCCTTCTGCACTTGGTAGGGCGCTGTGAGAACAGACTAGATGAGCCAGGGGAATCTGCCCCTGCTGGACACTACTTATGTTCTTATTTAGCTTTATTCAAAATAAAGAAATACTCTGTATGCTTCCCTTGTTTTTGTCAATCTCAAACATCAATCCACTTTCCCAATGTCACTGAGCTTTTTAAAAGTACAAATGTAAAAATACATTCGCAATAACTGTATACACTGCGTTCCAAACTATTCAAGAAATATTTGATCAATGTATTGTAAAAACTCATTTTCAAAGATAATAATGCACACAAATAAACATATTCAATATGAATTTCTTTCAAAATGTGGATTTCTTGTATATTTGTATAAGTCTAACAATATGTGAGGTAATACAGTGAATTTGTTATCCTTAAAAACAAACAATTGAACTTTTTTCTTTTCTTTCTTTGGCAGGTAACTTTGACAGCAGAGACTGACTCCTGTTTTATTACTTGGCAAAGAAAAAAGCTCTACTTGCTTCTGGCTAAGGAGCGCTACATTGCCCGACTCTTCTCTGTCCTCCTTGGCTATGACATCTCAGAAAAGCTCTATGCCTTGAATGAAAAGCTTTTTGCTAAGTTTGGCCTTCAATTTGACATCCGCTTACCCAGCCTCTACCATGTCTTAGGACCTACTTCAGACACAGAGGTGGAAAAGGCAGAGTACGAAGAGGCAGTGGTGCCTGTAGGTGATTTACCTGCGGTTGGCCAAAGTGCTCCTGGGGTTTCTTGCACTGTGCCTCATTCTACTCATCCTAGGAAATCTCGGCCTGACAGTGACCTGTCTGGTGAGGACTCTACCAGTCTTGTATTGGAAGATTTTGCTGAGTTGACAGGGTCTTTTATGGACTATATGAGTGAAGGGGAGTATTTGAAGTGAGTAAACATGGGCACACTTCACCCTGAATAAGTAAGTATTCTTTGTGCCTTTAAAAAGAAACATATCTAGATATGCAACGAAAGGGTAACTGATGTATCCAGCATACTGATTGCCCCACATTTCCTTAGAACCTGTGGTATATCAATTCTTAGTTCATTTGCTGCAAAAAGAGTGCTTTGGGTCATGATTTTGTCAAACTTCATCTCATTTTTGTATGAAGAACTACTAGCTTCCTTAATGACTGTAAGAATGCTGTTGACCTGATTTTGGTATTTAACAACATAGCCATGGCATTCTGCTTAGCCAATTAACTAAATGTAGGCTAAATGGTTTGAGAATTAGTTCAATACATTGTTAGCTCAAAAACTGAACTTGGATAATGCTCATTAATGATTCTTCATCGAACTAGAGAGAAGATACTACTTAGAATGCCATGGGGTTCAATCCTAGGCATGTTACTCTTCAATATTTTTATTAGAGATTTGGATGAGGTGGAAGGAATATTTATTACATTTAGAGATGACATAAAATGATATTAGACTTGTATGAAGCAATTTAGATTTAATACAGTGATAATCACTGCAGGGATCATTTGGAACCATGCCCCGTTGCCATGAAATCTTACAGTATCCCTCACACAGTGCCCATCCTAGGAAGGGGAAGGAATGGATATTGGAGTGAATAATATAACAGATTCACTCTTCTGTCTATGTGCTTGTCCACAAGAAGATTGAATTACACCATTTCATTTTTCATTGGTGACACCAAGACCATGGATTTTTGCTATGATACTTTTGTCATATTTATCTCTGTCAGCTTTAATATCTTTTTCAAAAATGGTTAGAATCATGTGCTGCATACTATGTCCTATTAATTGATGTTTTCATGAGGTTTTGGTTTGAAGGTGAATATTATTAATATACTTGTTTGTTTGTTTTTAAATTTGTGTTTGAAACCATTCTGCAGAGCAGGGCTAGGCAAATCAGGCTGTATTCCCCATCATCCCATTTTTTGTGATTTTTCAGTTCATATACATGCAGTTCGATGACAAAAGTGCCATTATTTGGTGATGTTATTTTTAGGAAATTTGGGCAAAATGGAAATCTTCAAATTTTAACTGTTCTCCTTCACCCACCAATTTGGAGTTATTTGACCAAAGATCAAGAATTCAAAATTTATTTATTTATAAATGTTTAGACCATCTATCTCCCCTATAAGGCAACTTTGGGCAGCAAAAAGTTGTTCGTTTTATTTTAAAATCTTTTATAGGCTGCATTTTAAAACAACACTTTGCCATAGCTACACTTCTTAACAATAACAACTTTACAAATTAACAAAACTCTTGTTAAAAATCCCATGAATACGTAATACTATGATTCAGCTTAGAACATGTGAAAGGTTTAAGTAAGACGGTCTCTTTAAATATAGTACAACCAAATATCAATTTCCAGAAAGGAGTTTGTGAGCATAGGAAAATAGGAAGAACATAAGGCTCCAACAATACATTTATTGATCTAAATTAGCTAATTGCAAGTTATCTTGAGAAGCAAACAAAATTTACTTTAGCAAAGGATTTGAAAGAGAAGATCTTGGTCTCCTGATAAATTAGATTCAAACTCTCCTTAAGAATATTTTTTCACTAATTCTTATTAATCTGAAACAGCTTTTTGGTGGAGGCTGACTGCTTTATTGGTTATACTCTCCATTTCTGATATTCAAAGGCAAGCACTAACTGTAAAAGTCATTGAGAAAATCCATTTTTAAATATGTCTATGGAGATTCTCAATCATCCAGGTCATGGCTGCTTTAGAAGTGCTTTTCAAAAGGCAACTGGACTTCCTTGGTTGTTTTCCTGGAAAACATTTCGCTTCTCATGCAAGAAGCTTCTTCAGTTCTGGCTGAAATGAACCAAAGCTCCCAGAACTGAAGAAGTTTCTTGGATGAGAAATGAAACATCTGCAAGGAAAAAGCCAAGGAAGTCCAGTTGCCTTTTGAAAAGCACCTTTTAAAATATATTTTCTGTCAGTTCTAACAGGAAATCTATTGCATGGAAGAGTGATGAAAAGAGAAAAAAAAAAGTAAGGTTTGCTCTGATTTCCTGCAATGCAACCTGTGCACCCTCAGATCTGTTGAGTTTCATCACAATGTTGGGATTTGATTCAACAAGATTACAATTCTAAAGCTTTTCTCCTTGAGATGCCAGGTTTACCTCCCTCCCCCTGCTTATTCAAGGTGGGCAGGACTTAGATCTCTTGTGGGTATGAAGGGACCTAAGGCTGATGATGCACTTGATCCCCCGCTCAGGCTCAGCTTGGTCATCTCCTTGGTGAAACATTAGGATAATGTTAGCTTAGGCAATAGAGTTGCTTCCTTTAAAATTGGGCATAAGCTAGTTCTTACAATAATTATGGCTTCTCTTTCCCACAGCTTTGGGAAACCACCTGAGGACTAATCATCCTGCCTTTGCAAAAGGACGAGCCCCTCTGGCTCCAACTCAGACCCCAGAACTCTAGAGAACAGCTATTGGGAATCCAAGACCTGTATGAAGCAATCAGGTCACTGATTGCCAATCAGGATGCCCTTCATTGTTTGTCTATTAAAGCATATATAAAATTTTTGTCCATATGATGCACTTTGAAAGGTATGCATAGAACAGAGAGGCAGCGATGGGATATTTTCTAGAGTATATCAATCTGCTCTGCCACCTGGATGTTTGTATTCTTGAACACTTGATATATGTTAAATATATTACATGTCTTGGAATTATGATGGTATAATTAATTGATGGAACATGATGGAGGTTCTATTGATTCTCTTCTTTCATAAATCAAAGAAGAAAGAAAACTATCTTCCATTTATTCCTTCCATTTTGGTGATCATTAGTGTGCTTGCTAATGTGAGGAGTCTTTCTTCACACCAAAGCTATATTCTTCACAAAGGCATCCCACGATAACACAGACCTTAAATAAACTTTCCCCCCATACCTGGAAGATTCGGTATAACATGCAACAAGTAGGCTGCCATCTGATGTATAATACTAGATACATATTATAACTGTGAGGCAAGATCTGTACTTTCAGGGTAAAATTGAAAGATTTGCCTTTAAATTTTAAACAGTTCACAACATAACTACCTAGGGACCACAGGATGAATCTATTAAGACAGTAACATCAACTGGAGAAATTCTCTTGAAGATGCATCTGCTTTCCAAACTCTGTTTAATAGGAGCAGAGTAAAAGGCTTTCCTTTTGCTCCTTATTGGTATTCAGAAAGGATCAATATATCCCTTTCCAATTTGGGCTAGTTTATAGTGATTTATAATATTTTAAGTGTTGGCTTTTAATTGTTACCTTAGCTGTTTTGAGTAAGTTATGGAGAGAAAATCAGGATATAAATTAATATAGCAACACTGTCTTCTTTCTTCCTGCAAAGGATAATATACCAATTATAGGGATGCAATGAATTGAGAGGATGAAGCATATAGTATATGCCACTATTAATTTCCATAATTCACCCAACTTGCATGACAGAAATGAAGTTGCTTTTCAGTAGGGCTGCCTCCAGTCACATCAGATTCTCTTCAGAAAGCACTGGTGTATAAAAGACTTACAAAATGACTCTAGGAAGCCCAAGTGAATGGAAAGTTAAATCAAAACTTTATTTTATATATTATTAATGAGACAAAGGTTCTACAGTTAGCAGTTTGGAGGGTGTTGCTTTTAAAACCTACAAAAACATCTTTACAAAATAAAATTAAAATAGTGATGCCAAGTCTGGCAACCTGTCCTGATACTGTTACTGTCTTTGTTTTAATACCAAAGGATTTTGCTGAGACAGAAGGAAGATCTTCACTTCTCCCACAGAAATCAAGATCAGACAAAACATATATATGTCCATCTTCTATACTTTTCCTGTTTTAGATTAGGTTATATGACATAGAAAATCTTTATATTTTCAACATGCCAGTTGTCTTGAGCAAAGATTTTAGATTAAGGGGTAGAATTTTGCTTCCATTTACTGCAAAATACTAGTTGGATACGAATGGAAAAAGTTTTTGCTGTATTGTGTAAAGTCTTCATCTGGTGCACGAGTGTCAAACTCAAACTCACCGTGTCACGTCATGTGTCACAACCTATTGTGATTTTTTCACATTGCCGGAGCTAGGGTGGGTGCGACCTCTGCATGATGCAACTGGCCTGGGGGCCGGCAATTTGATATCCCTGATCTAGTGGGTCAGAAAACTGAATTGAATGTGCTAATGAACATAAGGAGTAGAAGAGAAATTCATGAAATTCCCTCTTCCTTGATAATGGCCTTCCACTCTTAAAAACATGCCATTTGTTTCCTTCTAAATGAAGAACTGCATTTATACTGTAAGGAACACTTCAAACAATTAGCACCATGTACTCATTTTCACTCCAGATTTATTAGTAATAGGTCCTGTTCAATTAGGTGCTGTTCCATTTTATGTACATTGTATTTATTTTCTTCATAGTTGTAAAACTATTTAATTTTTCCTAAAAACAGGCTTAAAATTATTAACAGTTGAAGTGAAACAAGTATTCTGTGACAGAAAACACATATTCAAAAAATTAACGCTACACATTTGATTTTAAACTTAAGTATCTACTTTCTAAGTTACCTGTCTACCTGTTATAATCTCTGTGTCCACAAGGGAAAACTGTGCTAATCACACTGAATATTGAGATTCTGGAGAAGGGGGTTATGGTTTGTAATAGTCATCACTTGTGGCAAGCATATCATCTTCTCACTGAAGAAAGAACAGAATAAAGTTAAAGCTTGTAATGCATTTTTGGTAAATTGCCATGCAACAATAATAATTTACAATAAGAACTATAATTCCAGTTCTTCAACCCGCCTTTCTGAATTAATAGCAGATACTTTTCTGCTCTGTGACATTATTTTTAATAATTTGTTTTGTCAGAACACTTTTTTGTGATGGTGGTGGTAGTGGTAGGCTTTCAGTCCTGGGCTATCTTTGCTAAGATGTGTTATCTTCTACAACAGAGGTCAACAGCCTTCTGCTTGCAAGCAACAGCGCTTGGCCACCAAAGCGCCTCAGGGGCATATGATTAGGATAAGTTTGGAGTTTTTGGAAATATGCAAAATAGATGCATTAAGCACCTGGGCTAAGTTCTTATGTACCTAGTTCTTTCAATCTATTTGTCTCCCAAATGCTACTCTTTGTTTTTCTCTTGGAAAAGGACATGTTGATCTAACATGACATGTTAGGCTGTATTGTCTCTTTAAACAGCTACTACTCAGAATTCAGCTGGCAATGGAAAAGGCACATCAAGAAAAGTAAAAGGTATGGAGATAAGGCTACGCTGGGAAAAAGAAACAACCAATGGCTCCTGAAATATATTAACTCCTTAATGGCTTGATCAATTTTCATTTTCTAAACTGCTTTTGCAATTACTCAAAGAAAGGATGACAGTTGCAACCAACATTACCAGTGGTAATGTGAAGAAATGGAGATGGGTCAATTTGTGTTAGTCCTTAATTTTAAGTTTGGTTCCTGTTGTATTGAAACTGATTTCATCTCATTCACTATTCATACTTGAAAAACCTTAAATTATGGCAGTTTTGCCTGTTCTAGTTTGTTTTAGCAACCTTTGTCAGCTGTCAAAACTTGCCTTTTCCTCCAGCCCCACCATCAACTCACGTTAAGGAGAGCAAGTGGTAGATATTGTAATGCTGGCTGGTGACGCTTCATGGGTGGAAAGGAAACCAAGGAAATCCCTAATCCCTTTTCTTAACTTCCTCTGCATGTCACAAATATGAAAGCTACCACTTGGCAATAGTTATGGTGATGGGACAAGATTGAGGTCATATCAAGCAAATATGCCAGTTTACAAGCAAAATAATTTTACCATTGCTTTCAAAAAAGAGGGATTAAGGAATGGAAATGGTGCTTCTTGAGGCTGCCTCTGAGTCTGTTTAAGCTAAAAGCAAACAAAGGGTTCCAAACTCATATATTTTAAAATAAATATACCATATAGACAAGGGCTTTTCAACCAGTGGTACAGGTACCACCTGTTATGTTTTCCGTTTATTGGCAATTGACGAAGACACATGGTGAAAACAACAAGCTCTTTATTACTCTTCTCCTACAACCAAACAAACAGCAAAAGGCACGTAGGCCTTTTATAGTGCCTGAAACCCTGACAGTGTGAACCAATAGGAATTGACCATTTTCGCGCCTTGCGCATGCGCACAAGGCTGGCGCCATTCTGTCTGGTCCTGGGCAGCTTTTGGATTGCCGGTGACCAATTGCAACAATTCTGAGCCTGCTTTCAGCTCTTGCAGGCTCAGGACACAACACCCCTCCCCCCTAGATGAAACACACCTAGCTTACGCACAGGTGCATCATGCAATGCAGGGAGAGTGGAACACAGATGCATTATTCAAATGCACAGAGGGTGGAAATGCTCGGATCTGCATGCAGGCAGACACCTTTCAAAATAATTATTTAACTCAGTTAAATATATCCAAAATCAAAATAGTATATGAGACTCTCTGAGTGTTACCCCCTCATTCAGCGACCTCATAGCAAAGTTCCTTATATGTTGACAGGAACCTCACATAATCTCCTAGATGTTTATGCGGGCACTTTGCCCGCTGCTACCTTCTAGGGGCTGGTGAGGGTGCCTGGCCTACCTGCTCACCTACCAGGCTAGGCAGGCCAGGACTTTGATGCCCTGAATACCCAGGTGGCCCCGGTGAAGGTGCCTGGCCTACCTGCTCGCCTACCAGGCTAGGCAGGCCAGGACTTTGATGCCCCAAATACCCAGATGACCCTCTGAGTCTGCTGACTGCTGACTGGCTGGCTGGACCCTCTGAATCCAAGCCAGTATACCTTGGGGGGGGGTGGAAGTCCCCGAGTCCACAATGGACTTCTCTTGGGAACACTGTCCTTCGAACCCAAACAGCCTCCGCAGCTTATGAGGCCCTGTTAGGCCTGGGAACCTGTGACCCAGAATGCATATTATGGTCCTCCCCCCCCCCAGAGCAGAGCCAGGAACGGGAACGTTGCTGTCCAGTCTCCAACGCAGTTGGTCTATGTGCCTGCAAAGAACGCGGCCATCCTCCAAGGCAACTTTGTATGACAACGGCCCAGAGACCTTGCAGACCACAGCTGTGTCCCAGAGATGTCCAGGCTCATAGTTCCGTGCCCAAACTGGTTCATCCACCAGAAGTCTCCTAGGTGCCCACAGTTGTGACACATGTGAAGCCACTCGGTCTGAGTGCAACCTGTCCAGTTTGGTGATGAGGTGGCGACCCCAGCGGAATTCTGCAGGGCTCTTCCCTGTGGCCATGCAAGGTGTGGTGTGGTGTGCAAGAAGGAAATCTGCTAACCTGTGATGCCAGTTACCATAAGTCAGTTTCTTGACAGCATCCTTGGTAGTGCGCACCATTCTCTCTGCCTGTCCGTTGGAAAATGGGTGGAAGGGAGCAGAAGTCACATGCCGGATCAAGTTGGCTTGAAGAAAAGCCTGGAACTCAAAAGAGGTAGATTGAGGGCCATTATCTGAAACCAGGACATCTGGAAGCCCGTGTGATGCAAAAATTCCTCTCAACACCTGGATGTTCCTGGCAATAGTAGTGGAGGAAACAGGAACAACCTGTAGCCACTTGGAATGGTTGTCAACGATGATAAGGAAGAATTGCCCCTGAAAAGGCCCAGCATAATCTATATGCACCCGTGACCATGGGGTTTGAGTTTCCTCCCACCTATGTACTGGGGCCTGAGGCATTTCAGGCCATGACTGTTGGCACACTTGGCACCCGTGCATCTGAGCCTCGATGGCTTTATCGAGTCCAGGCCACCAAAGATGGCTGTGCACAAGTGCTTTCATCCTTACTAAACCAGGATGTCCCTCATGCAGAGAGAGCAAGATTCTAGACCTCAATGAGGCTGGGATTATTACCCTACTACTCCATAACAGGCACCCCTTGAAAGTGGAAAGTTCATGCTTCTTGTGCCAGAAGCTTTGGAACTCAGTGGACACATGTCAGGCCATCCTGACAACACCCAGGTCAGCATGCGTGTGAGCGTTGATCAGTGGCAGTTTCTGCAGCCACGTCCCTAGTATTTAGGGGAGATTCAGGGAACTCCTGAATGGAAAGAATATTAATAGCAGGGGCAGGATCTGCCTCTATCTGTTTAAGAGGTAGTCTGCTTAGGCCATCTGCATGACCCATCTTTTTTCCAGGTTTGTGAATTAGAGTGTAGTCATATGCTGACAGGAAAATGGACCATCTCAGCATACGTGGGGAAGTAATATGTGGTGTCTGTTTGTTAGTGGTAAACAAACCCAGAGAGGCTTATGGTCTGTGTAGACTGTGAAATGGCGACCATATAAGAAATCATGGAATTTCTTTATGTCAGCCACTATGGCCAAGGCTTCTCTGTCAATCTGAGCGTAATTCTGCTCTGCAGATGACAGAGTCCTTGAGTAGTAGGCCACAGGGACTTGTGTCCCATCAGCCTTCAGATGGCTAAGTACTGCTCCCACCCCATAAAGAGATGCATCGCATGTGATGCAAACAGGCAGTTGCTCATTGAAATGCGCTAAAACAGCATTTGAAGCGAGCATGGCCTTAACTTCATTGAAACTCCTGTCATGGACTTTAGTCCACTGCCATGGAGCTTGCTTGTCTAAGAGCCGGTGTAACGGCTCAGCCACTGCAGCCTTATGTGGAAGGAATGCGTGATAGAAATTTAAAAGCCCCAAGAAAGCTTGCAGCTCACTTTTGGACTTGGGCTTGGGGCCTGCTGAATTGCTTGAAGCTTGGATTCAGCAGGATAAATGCCTTGGGCATCAATCCTGAACCCTAAGAAGTCAGTGGAAGTGACTCCTACCTTGCATTTATCCTGCTTCAATTTAAGGCCTGCTTTGCGAAAATGAAGCAAGACAGCCCTTAACCTTTCTGCTAAATTTTGAGATGAGTCATTGCTCATCCCCAGCAATGAGGACGTCATTGAAGTAGGGACAGACCCCAGGAATACCACAAAGTGTGCTCTCCATGACACTTTGGAATATGCCAGGGGCTACATTTACCCCAAATTGCAGTCATTTGACTTTGAAGGCCCCCCTGTGAGTTACAATCGTCTGGGCCTCTGCAGATGCCTCATCAACAGGTAGCTGTTGATAGGCCTGTGCCAGGTCAAGTTTCGCAAAAATGTACACCCCCTTGAAGGAGGCCAGAATGTGGCTTACAACTGGCACTGGATATGGGTGCTGTTGCAACGCTTTATTCAGTGTGCACTTATAGTCTGCACATATACGGACTTCCCCATTAGCCTTTAGAGGCGTTACTATGGGGGTTTCCCATGGACTAGAATCTACAGGTTCTAAAATGCCGTGCTGGAGCAATTTGTCCAGCTCAGAATCTATCTTACTTTTGAGGGCAAAAGGCACCCTTTGGGCTTGACCCTAATGGGCGTGATAGTTGGATCTAACCATAGTGCAATGGGAGGCCCCTTGTAGGATCCTAGCTCTGAACTAAACACATCCTCAAACTCCTTGCAAAACTCTGCAAGGCCCAACATTTGCAAATTGTGCAGCCCAGTTATTTGGATTCCCAGAGCCTCGAACCAACCGAGTCCAATAAGACTCATAGGTTCACCCCCAACTACCACCACATCCAGGAAACCTTCAAAATCCTTATGCTGTACCTTGAGCATGGGCCTCCCCTTTTACACAGACCTTAGAATTTTGAAAATCAATGAGTATTAGATTCGATGGCCTGAATTTAACTCGAAGCCCACTACTATTGCAAATCCTTTTAAAGGTGTCCAGTGAAATGATCGATAGAGCGGACCCTGTGTCCAGCTCCATCAATAAGGGAACCCCTTGCAACTTCATGTTAATGCGAAGTTTTTTCTTAAGGGGCTTGTGTGTTCCTGTTGTTAGAATGCTCCTGCGCGATGCGCAGAAACCCAACGTGTTTTGGCTGGGGACCCTGGTACCTTTCTGAAGCAATTCTTCCCGAGGTTGGACCTTCTGGCAACCCAAACAGACAGAGGCTATGTGGCCTTGCCTGCCACACGCCCGGCAAATGGCGGAGCGAAACCTGCAGTCATCTCGCTTGTGGTGTCCTCTGCACCCGAAGCACTGAAGAGATGTTTGGGCGCCCCTTCAGCCTTCTTTCTGCTGGCTGGTGCAGTCTGTCCACCTCCTCTTCAGAATCTGCTTCGGATTCTTCTCGAGCGTCCTCTTGATGGATGGTAGTGGTAGCTGGAGGGTTCCTGGCGAGCCGCAAAGCCTTCACAGCACCGCCTGCTGCTTCTTCAGCTGCCACCTCTCTTAACGCGTCTTGGAAGGAGACATCTTCTTTTGCAAGATCTTTTGTTGTAGGTCTCTGCTTCTTAAGCCACACATGAAGCGATCACACAGCCTCTCTTCCAGATCCTTGAACTCACAAGGCCTTTTTTAAAAAATATTTTTTATTTTTAAACCAACAAAACAAAACAAAACACAACATACATACATACACAATATATACTCCTCCCCCTTTTTTTAACAGCAATTATGTAATGGTAATCTTCTATTATTTACATTTCTCCCCCTTCTTCTTTAGAATATTTATCCTTATTGCCCCATTGTTTCTTATTTACATTTTTCTTCCTTCATACTCTACTTCTTACTAAGAATAATTCATATTATTATTATACATTATTATACACATATTTTCACTTTTGACCTTTCCATATTTATTCTCCTCTATTATTTCTAGTCTCCCACCAGTCATACCACTTGTTCCATGTTAGATAGTACTCTTCCTTTTCTTTTATCTCTTTTGTTAATTTGTCCATCTCAGCACAGTCCAGGATTTTTCTTATCACTTCTTCCTCTGATGGTATATTCTCATTTTTCCAGCACTGTGCATATGCTATTCTTGCCGCTGTTATTATATGTAAAATTAAGTACCATATTTCTTTATTATATTTTCTGTTTAAAATACCCAGCAAAAAGATCTCTGGTTTCCAGTCTATGGGTTGGTCTATTATTTCTTCGATCCATCTTCTTATTGTAGTCCAATATTTTTTCGCAACTGGGCATGTCCACCATAGATGATAATATGTTCCGTGTACTTTTTTACATTTCCAGCATGTTGGCAAATTGTTCTGGAACATCTTGGCAAGCTTTGCTGGTAGAAGATACCTGGCCGCTTGTCTTAAGGTAGCAATAAAGTCCGCAGCAGATTCACCTGGCCTCTGGTCTATCTGCTTGAACGCGTGCCTCCAAGCGATCACAGATAATTTCAGATGGAAATGTTCCTTCAATATTTTCTTCAAGTTAGCATACGATACTGACTCCAGAAGTGCAGGGGCCACCAGATTTTCTGCGATGTCAAAAGCTTCCTGTCCACAGGCACACAAAAGAGTTGCTGCCTTCAGGCCGTCTTCTCTTATTTGATTTACTCTAAAGTAGTTCTCCACCCATGCTACGTATGAATTCCATCTCTCTGGGTGGGAGACATCAAAATCAGTCAAACAGCCAATCTTCGACATCGTAAGCTTGACGGTCTTCGCTAATTGCCTCCTCTGCAAGCTAAGATTTGGGAAAGGGTCCTTTTGCCGAGCTCACCTCCAGCAACGCTGTATTGGTAGGCTGAGTCGCGAATGCAGGACGCCGTCTTCCTGATTATCAGGACTTCCTTGGTGAGTCCTAATCCTTTTCCTTGCTTGCAGGGATCCCACCTTCATCGTCAGTGTTATGTTTTCCATTCATTGGCAATTGACGAAGACACATGGTGAAAACAACAAGCTCTTTATTACTCTTCTCCTACAACCAAGCAAACAGCAAAAGGCACGCAGGCCTTTTATAGTGCCTGAAACCCTGACAGTGTGAACCAATAGGAATTGACCATTTTCGTGCCTTGCGCATGCGCGCAAGGCTGGCGCCACTCTGTCTGGTCCCAGGCAGCTTTTGGATTGCCCGGGACCAATTGCAACAATTCTGAGCCTGCTTTCAGCTCTTGCAGGCTCAGGACACAACACCAGCTATGGTACATTGGCATCTGGCATCATGACCATCCTAAAATAGTGGTAGCAGGGGAGGGGAATGAGCTGAACCGGTGGCAGCACCGCACAAGCCTGAGCGAGAGATGGCTGCAGCTGCAGGGCTGTCAGGGCTCAGCGGAAGTGCCAGGATCAGTGCTTCTTTCCAGCTGATTGGTGCTTCTTCACGGCTGTCAGGGCTCAGTGGAAGTGCCAGGATCAGCACCAGGCTCCAGCTGGAGCTCGGCGCTGATCCTGTTGCTTCCGCTGAGCCCAGAAGAAGCACCAATCAGCTGGAATGTTGCAGCATCTCCAGGTCTTGTGATTTACATTCAGATGCTTGGCAACTGATTCATATTTATAACGGTCACAGTGTCCCAGGGTCATGTGAAGTGACCAAAATCTGCTGCAACCACCCAGCAGATGGGGGGAATAAAAACCAAACACCCCCCACCCCACCCCCACTGCCAATCCTCAACAGAAATGCTCACAACAATGAAAACCTCGGACAGAAGGAAGAACGCCACCGGGTGGGCAGGCAGGTGTCTTGCTCAGCTGTGGCTTGGGGCACTCTTTCGGTGCCATTGTAACTTCAAACAGTCACTAAACAAACTGTTGTAAGTCAAGGACTACCTGTATTTTATCACTTTTTTCCTTTTTTTGTGGGGGGTCATCAAGTTTTTGATACCTTGCTAGGTGACTGGTGGCACTCGGATATTGCCATATCCTAAAAGTGGTACAATGGGTGAAAAAGTTGAAAAGCCCTGATATAGACTAAGCGCCTCAAATGCATCTTAATTAACTCTATGCAGTATCCCCAAATAAATTAAAATTCAGACAAAGAATCTTTCAATACTTTTTTTGCTAAGTAAAAAACAGTATTTCTTGCTTACTTTTTATCCACAGGTAGAGGTGCAGTACAAAAGTGCCCAATAATAGGTGGCTCATCTTTCTTCCTTTTCCAGAACTTGTGATGGTGCTGCAACATCACACTTTCTATCTGGCATAGTGGAGCAGAATGGATCAGCAAGCCTTTGCCCAGCATTTGCTGCTTGGGTCTGTGAAGCCCAACAGAATATAAAGTGTGAGAAGAGGAATCAAAATTTTATTGACTTTTTGTAGGAACATAAATGGATTGTAGTTAAGCTGCAGAATGAGCTCCAAATCACTCTTAATGCAAGCCAGGCCATTTTCCATGAAGATCCAAAGGAAATTCTATGCTCTCTGCAACACCTTTATTTTGTACATATTAGCTGAAGTGCAAGAGGAGAGAAAATCACATTGGGAAGAATCAAGCACTGAAGGAAAAGCAAAATCAGCATTCCCAAATAACTGCAATTGTTTGCTCAGCTTTGCTTCAACTCTCTCTGGGCTGTACATTCAACATTGCTGTGCACACATAATGCATATATAAGATTGCACTTAGCATTTTCTTGGTTATTCATTTAGCTGCACAATTAAGAAGCTGATAGTAAAGAAAATTGATGTGGCTCCAATACTTACACAAACAATCAAAGTCATGATTTTCTGAGATTTCAGTAAACCCTGATTTTGAACACTTAGTTAAACTCTACAGAAAATTCTGCAATTGAACAATTGCTCAAGTTTTCATAGACTAGCATCGCAAATCTATATGCTTCAAATACAAATGTATCTGGTTTTATTGTTATTATAACATGTGGAAACATCCAAGGCACAATCCTAATTAAATAAGTGTTAGTGGGTGGTGTTAGGGCAGGGGTCCTCAACCCCCAGTCCATGGACCAGTACCAGGCCGCAGCATTTCAGCAACCAGGCTGCCCAAACAAGCAAAGCCCCATCTGCGAGATGCAGGCAGCACACAAAACCACACACCCTCCATTCAGTGGAAAAACTGTCTCCACTGAACCGGTCCCTGGCGCCCAAAAGGTTGGGGATCTGTTTGTTAGGGTGTGTTCCAGAAATCATTTCTATCAACTAAGATTATTTTTTTCTGAAAAAAAGATCTGCCAATATATGCTGTGAAAAATAAAATATGCGATGAGAGTGGACTAAGAGAAAAAACATGTTATACCACGTCCCAATTTTAGTCAGTCTGGGTAGATATTCACAATGCTAGTGCAAAGTGAAGCCAGGCTGGGGTAGTTTTCTATTATCTTGCAGCACACTGAATCCAAGAGTAGCATAAAGCAAGCAAACATGCACCACATATTTGGAGTCAAGAGGTAGTTAGATTTGACACAGAACAGATTCAGCAAGTCTGACAGCTCATTTTGGCTAGTTAGGATTAGGAAAATTGTGCAAATTGAAAGGAACAAAAAAGGACATTGGAACTGTCCATTATTACTCACATGATGAAGCTGGTGCTAGCTGAGGAGTTGCTCGTGAGAAAGGTTATCTCAATATTGGTATCTGAAGCTCTCCTCTGCTGCAAGTGGAATTCCACAAGTGTATGGTGTACTAAGCAACAGAGAAAACACATTCTTGGCAGGAAGCACTAAACATAATTAGCCTCCATTATTAAAAAGAAAATTGTTGCTAGGTTCTTTGTAAACTCATCCAAGAATATCCTCTCCCCCATCAGTCATATCCTTTAAAATCAATAATTGGTCTGTAGTACTTTTTATTGTAGGAGAACATATGTGAGCTGTTGAGTAATACACCACAAATAGTCAATTAAAATGTTATAAGCTTCTCAGTTATCAATGGCAGAGTTACTGGTTTCTGGTCATCCAGATCCTGTTTTTTTTTTTTTGAAGATAGGAATAAGATTTGACTTCTCTTGTTCTCCTTATATCTAAAAGACAATGAATCCAGCCAGACCATTAACAATTTTTACCATCCTAAATGAAATACTAGTTTTTCTCCCAGATCTAGTCTTGCATCTGTTCCTCATTTGAACATATTAGGTTAGTTAGTTTTATCTTAATATATACTGAGATAAAATCTCCCACTTTTACATTTTTTTTAATCCTTAAAAGACCCAGCAAAAAGAAACAAACTCATGGAACAGGTGACTGATACTATTGTGGTATGCAGTCTATGTTCCATGTATGTGCTTATCCCCAAAGAACGCCCAAATTATACATATATTAAATGTAAACTATACGAACTACTAGAAGAAAAAGTAAAGCATCTTGTCAGAATCCAATTATATTTCATTTCTAGTTATCGACTATGGAAAACCCCATTTCTGCCCTTTCTGGATTCTGTCGTACTATGAAGGGGAAGGGGGATGAGCAAAGGGGTTTTATGGCTCTCACTTCCTTTATTAAAACTTCAAAGGGACTGAATGTGGATCTCACCAAGAGGACTGACCATAACAATATGGCCATCAACTTTCATCTACTACTCTCTGAAGTCTCCCTTCTGCTGGCCGTGAGGAAAAGGGGGTGGAAATGTAATGCCTGGGATTGTCGCTGGAAGGACGGTGGGGTGGGGGCTGCTTGGGAACACTTAAAACCTTGAATGGTAGGGGTTGGTCCCTCAGATCCTGTCTAGAATGCCTGCAACCATCTTCTCTTAATAAAGATGCCTGTTGGAAGAAATATTCCAAGAGTTCTGTCTTCTTAAGATGTAAAGTGGGGTGGGTCCTTACATTAGACAGGATCTGCAGAATTAGTCCACCTGGAAGGGAGAACTTTGCTGGGGGACTTTGCAAAAATTACCATGTCAGACGATGGAGCAGGGAAGGGAGAAAACTCCCTGGAAAGGGAGCTGCTGCCCCGACTGAAAGCCTGCCAGATGTCAGGATCTGAAAGGTCAGATTTCTCAGGAGAAGAGGTGGTGGAGACACGAGACCCCAAACCTTGGTGATCAATGGGCGTTGGAAAGAAAGGCGAGTGGGAAAAGAAATCAAGAAAGGTGACCCTGAGACAGGGGGCCAACCAACCAGAATGGAAGCAGGAGATGAGAAATCCCTGCACGCAAGTGAAGAGGAAGGGAGCTGGGCAACATACTCAGGCTGGATCCTAGAGAAAGCTATCGACCTGATGAAGAGAACCCTCAGCTCCCTAGGAGAGGAGAATTCTGAGCCCTATGGCCGCACCAGCTCCTGGAGCTGCAAAGGGAGAGACACCGAGGGGGAAATGGAATCTGCAGCCCCGGGGACGTCTGCTGATCCAGTAGTCCCCACTCCCCGCCGACCCGCAGATGGCGATCTGGATGGAAGACACTACCACCAACAACAAAGGCACTGATCCATTCAAAGACTCCCGCTGCTGGACATGAGATTCAAGGGGGAGCCGACACGCTTGGGTTTTTCCTAACCCAAGTCCTCAGCTACATGGAGAAATACGGGCGGCACATCCCCAGTGACAAAGCCTATATCTGGATCGTGCAATCTGCTCTGGATGGGACGGCCGCAGATTGGGTGGTGAACTTGCATGACTCCAATGCCTCAGAGCTCAATGATTTCAACTGTTTCATGTCCTCTCTGAGAAGGTGATTTGAGGACCCCCTGGCTGATAGCAAAGCCCGTGAAAGGATAAAAATGATGAGGCAAGGCAAATGCCCGGTTGCCAAATATATGCAGGAATTCCGGGCCATTACCAGCAAACTGAACTGGCTGGAAGACATCCTCCTTAGCCATTTCAAAGATGGGCTAAACTATGACCTATATGATGCTTGCCTGCCCCAAGGGGACACACACCAACTTGATGAATGGTACGTCCTGGCAGAGGAAGCAGAGATTGACATACCGAAGAGGCACTGCCGAGGAAAACAATGGAGCCGCTCACCGCCTGACACATGAACCAGTGAAACCATCAACTACGGTCAAGAAGCAAATGGGGTGTTTCAAGTGCAGGAGAGAGGGGCATTGGGCTGTAGAATGCCACTCAAAAGCCCCCCAGCACAATCCAGACAGATCACTGGCCAGCAAATCCGGGAAGTATCCAGCTAAGCCAAAAGAACCTGCCATGAGAATGATGGAGGCTGTGGAATCCCCCACCTCTGCTCATCAGGGGGAAAGAACTCCAGCCTACACCTCAGACGACAGCTCAGAGGGCGAACCCCTGGTAAGTGGACCCATTGCACCCATCCTCAAGACAGTGACTATATTAATTCCCCCCATGCCTGAAGCTGTGAGGGTGAATGCCTTAATAGACTCTGGCTGCACCCACTGCCTCATTAGCCCAACGCTAGTGGGGAATCTGGCATTCCATCCAGGAGACTGGAACAATCAATCTCATTTGGCCAGTTAGATGGGTCCATAGCAGGGGGAGTGCCAGCTACCCTAGCCACTTTAACAATACACCTCTCCCTGGGCAAACATGAGGAAGACGTAACATTTGTAGTGACCCCAGGAATGGAATGCCCGATGATCCTAGGGATGGAATGGTTAAAGAAATGGAACCCCTGGGTGAATTGGAGGACGGCAGAAATCAAATTCCCGAAAGGGTACCCTATGGACTTAAAATCCCAAGGGGAGATACCAAAATTAAGAATGGAAAAAGCATCCATGGGAGACTACCAGAAATACCAGAGGAATACAGAGATCTTGCTGAAGTTTTCAGTGAGGAGAGGGCAGATGAGCTCCCCCCCCCGATTCACGGATTGTGCCATTGAATTCAAGCCTGGGGCAAAACTCCCGAAGCCCAGATTATACTCCATGAGCCCAAAGGAGAAGGAGGAAATGGAAAGATTCATAAAGAAAAACCTAGAAAGAGGGTTCATTGAACCAGCCAAGCCTAAAGTGGCCGCCCCGGTCCTTTTTAGAGAGAAGAAGGACAGCTCTTTATGCTTATGCGTGGATTATGGGGCCCTGAATACAATCAGTGAAAGCAACCTATACCCCCTGCCCCTCATGAAGGACATGTTGCCACACCTCTTGAAAGGGAATTTTTTTTTACTAAACTAGACCTAAGGGAAGTTTACTATCATGTGAGAATTAAGGAAGGGGATGAATGGAAGATCACATTTAACTGCCCAATGGGGTGCTACCAATTCGAAGTCTTGCCATCTGGATTACAAGGGCCCCAGCAGTATGTATGCAATTAATCAATGACGTTTACGGGAGCACCTATTTAAGGGGGTCCTGGTTTACTTAGATGACATTCTTATCTTCACCGAATCAAAAGAGAAACATGTCAACCTAGACAGAGCAGTTTTAAAGAAACTGCGAGCCACCCACCTATATGCCAAACTCTCGAAATGCGAATTCCACCAGGAAAGGATAGACTACCTAGGTTATTGCATATCCCCACAGGGCATTGAAATGGACCCAGAGAAGGTCAGAGCAGTATTAGAATGGGCACCACCCCACACAAGAACGCAACTGCAAAGTTTCCTGGGCTTTGCAAACTTTTACCGCCAATTCATCCCCTCATTTGCCCACATAACCCTGCCCCTCACAAACTTACTAAAAATGAAGGGAGCATCCTCAGTAAAACCTAGCCAGCCATTAACATGAACAATGGAGTGCCAAGCAGCGTTTGAGAGATTAAAGAGACTTTTATCTGCCAAACCAGTACTGAGGCACCCAGACATGGATAAGCCCTTCGTAATACAGGCGGATGCAAGTGATGTGGCAGTGAGGGCTGTACTATTACAAGAAAATGATGAAGGGGTATTGCAATTCTGTGCGTATACATCCAAGAAATTCATGGAAACAGAACAGCGCTGGCCCATGTGGGAGAAAGAGGCACATGGGATACTTTGGTCATTACTCACATGGCACCAGTTCCTTGAAGGCAACAAAATCCCTTTCCAGGTGTGGACAGACCACAAAAATTTGGAAGCCTTGAAAACACCCAGGAAGCTCAACCCCAAGCAAGCCCGCTGGTCCTAGCATTTTCACCAATTCCACTTTACGCTCAAGCATTTGCTGGGGGGAAGGAACTTCCTGGCAGATGCATTATCTCGCATGCCCCAATATAACAGCACGCGAGCCATTGACTCTAAACTGATGATGGTAGAATCACAACTGCCAGCGCCAGTAACCACCAGAGCCCAAGCTAAATTGAAACCACAGCTGGGCAGTCAAACCGGAATTGAATTCCGGAAAAGTTTAGAAACAGATGAATGGTTCCAGAAAAATAAAAACGTGCACAATGAGAGAGGGGCTGCCTTGGGTGGGGGAAAAGTTACATATACCAACAACCCAGCTTTGCCACAACACAAAATCAGCATGGCATTTTGGATATGTAAAAACATTACACTTAATTAAATGGCAATTTTGGTAGCCATCCATAAAAAAGGACATAGAAAGTTACGTGGCCAGCTGCCCAAAGTGTGCAACTGCAAAGAGGTTGTAAGGGAAATTGCCCGGATTGTTACAAACAGTGGCAAATCCCTCAGCCCCCTTGAGGAAAATAGCCATGGATTTTATAGTGGAATTACCAGAAAGCAATGGGAATACTGTTGTCTGGATGGTCACAGACTTGTTTTCCAAGCAGGTGCACTTTATCCCTTGCTAAAAGATTCCCACTGCAAAAGACTTAGCGGAACATTTTATCCAG